CCCCACCCTCCCCACCAATTCTGGTGTTTCAGCCACTACCGCTGTTGTGAATGGCTAGGCCAACACTGCACAGCCCTTGAAGCAAGCGCTGGGGTGCGGTGTGAAAGTGGTGTTTTTCAGGGTACACCTCGGGATAATTCCCGCCGTTTTTTCCCGCCGTGGTGGGCGGTCCCGGGACTGGCGGTAATTACAGCCACATTCGGTGGTACCGGGAACCGCCGAAGGCGGTACCGCCGAACAACGAAATACCGCCTACCGCCTAAAAATTAACGCCATATTGCTGTACCGCCGAAGAAGTACCGCCAAAAAACGAAGTACAGTAGGTGGCCCGATATAGTGGCAACCTGAATAGTGAACTGCCCGGTATAGTGGCATGGAATTCTCTTGGCAAAATCTCAACCCGATATTGTGGCACTTTCCCACTATTGCGGACGGGGCCCTCAATAGTGGTATTTTGGACATTCCGCACACCTAATAGTGGCAGTTCCAAGTAGCGAGCCCCCACCACTGCTGTACCACACCTGCCCACACACCGATCAGCAGTGGCCGCCACACGTATCATTCAAACCTGCGCGGACCTAGAACTGTGAACACGTGGCTACAATGCTTTTGGACGTACCGTGGTTCCTGCAGTCTGTTAGCACAGAACAATGGGATTTGACCACAGAAGGCCCGGACCCTTGGACAATCAAGTGTCGTTTGAAGCAGCTCATGCGGATACTGCTGCACACAAATGCTAAACCACGAGGAGTGCAGCACATCATGGCATTACCCGTACGTATACAGCGCACATGAGTGTACATCCAATGAAATGCAGTCGATATTGTGAATATCAAAGCTTCTCATCCGATATAGTGGCAAAACGGCCACTATTGCCGGCCAGTAGTGGCACTTTTGCCACTATATCGGAGAGTGGCAACTGCCTTGAATAGTGGCATATTGTCCTCTTGCCACTATATGCCACTATATCGGGCCACCTGCTGTACCGGGAACCGCCTAAAAAGAACCGCCATATTGCAGTACCGCCGTGCTGCAGCACCGCCGTAAACGTACCGCCGTACTGCAGTACCGCCAAAATAGTACCGCCATACTACAGTGCTGCCGTAAACGTACCGCCGTACTGCAGTACCGCCAAGATAGTACCGCCATATAACAGTACCGCCGCAGAAGTACCGCCATACTACACTACCGCCGTAAAAGTACCGCAATGTCGCACGTGCCTGTGAGGTTGTCGCACCTGAGAGAGAAGTAGTCTCGAAGAGTATATTGAGGGCGATATTCCGCGTACAACAGTGGTTCGAGTCCAGCTGGCCTGCATCTTTGTGCATCTTTTCCTTTTTCTTCTTTCTCTTTCGTCATATTTATATATGTACCTGGTATACTTTTTTCTATATTAGGCTGAGTCTTACGGCGTGATTATTCGGATATTTTTTTTGCTCTCGGTCAAGGGGGGGGTGGCCTGCACGAAAAAAAATATCAAGATCCAAACGACCGTCTAACGGTTCCTCGAGGTATGTATTTTTCTGAAGGGAAAAAAGAGGCTGATTCATGTTCTTGTCGGTCACAACATGCTTCAGTACACGGTTTTGGCTCGTGTGCGACCAACAAGACACCGAGCGCCCTGTTTATGGGTCGCCTGCAGAGGGCATGTCCATCATCGCACGCCAGTGGCTGCAGTTTGTGGATGTCGTCGGCCAAAGGCCTCTCTCTGATGGCATGCGTTGTACACTGATTACACTCGACTCGGAGCAAGCGGCAGAAAAAAAGAGCAACGTCCAAAAACGGCAACACCGAACCACACCTCGATTCACGTTTGCAGGCCCTGCGCAATCAAAACTGGACACTACGCTCTGTTTCTGGGACGCGAGCAGGGGGTATGTGTATGACCACACGCCACTGGCTGCTGTTTGTGGATGTCGTCGGCCAAAGGCCTCTCTCTGGCATGCGTTTTTGACTGGTCGCGGGTGACACACGGAGCAAACACGCGGCGGAACAAGAAAAAAGACCAAAAAGTCAACACTGCAACACACTTTGGTACACGTTTGCAGGCCGTGTGCAATCAAAACTGAACAATATGCGCTGTTTCTGGTACGCGAGCAGAGGGCATGAGTGTGACCACACGCCATTGGCTGCAGTTTGTGGATGTCGACGGCTTAAGGCCTCTATCTGGCATGCATTTTGAACTGGTCATACATGCAGCAGTCACAAGAACGGCTCTTTTCGGCCCAAAGGCAAGAACGTCAGCAGAGCAATGTGGCAGGGTTGACGTTTTCGGCTCGTGTGCGGCCAACACGACGCAGAACGCCCTGAATTTTAGATACCTGCAGGGGGTTTGTGCATGACATCATGATACTGGCCTCTGTTTGGCCAGCAGACGGTGTAGTTCCTCGTTCTGGCACGATCGGGGTGTGACCAGGGGGTACCCCCCCCCATTTCTAACAGCGATATTCCAACAGGATCGCTATTGAAAAATGGGCCAATTTTCTAACAGGCCGGTCGGAATCGCTGTTGGAATTGGCGCTGTTGGATTTTGGGCTGTTGGAATTTGCCATTTTCCTACCCGTAAGACGCCCACATTATTTTTTTGGCTCAGAAAAGGACCCCCCCCAAAATCCAATCCGGAAATAATCAGACCGTAAGACTCAGCCTTAGGCGGTTTCTTATTGTTTGAAAAGTTCCAGTTGAAAAATTGAAATTTTCGATTCCCAGATCCAACTCGGAAAATCTCACCCGAAAATAGAGCAGCCTTCTTACGGATCGACGGAATTGGAAGCGCTAAGAACAGGGGGGGGGGGGTTCACAATTACACCCCCGCCAGACGACGCAACATCATGCCGCTAGTCAAACCCCGCCACATCATGCCGCTAGTGGAACCACTGCTGCTGCAAGGCGCGAACAACTACTCCGATGCGCTGCTGCGGTCGATACTTGGTTGCGACGAGGCGACAGCCAATAACGTGAACATCCTTCAGAACGCGGCCATCTGGTACGCGTGCTCCGTGATCAAGCGCGCGAACGGCACAGCACCCCAACAGGATACCGAGCGTGCTGTGCGCCGGCGACCATCCTCCTGTTGGATTTGGTGCAAAGCCGCCAACGCGACTGACAGCACTGTTGCTTCCAACAGATCGTCGCCGGTCCCCATATCGGGCGCACCGCGCTGACAACAAAGCGCCGGGTCTGCGCGTGTGAGGCGCTGTGCTAGGCTGTCAAGCGCTGTGCTGTGCTGTGCTGTGCTGCTTTGTGGTGCGCTGTTGTGCACTGTCGGGTGCTTCCAGCGACCAAAGCAGGTGTGGTGTGGGGTCTGTGTGATGCCCCCCCCCCCCCGAGGTTTGGATTTCCAACTATTATAATAGCTTCTTCAACTCGGTCGCGACTTGAATAAAATTGAAAATTTCAACTGCGCAGAGCGTTTCCAATTTTTTTTGGCCCGAGTTGAAAATTTATTTCTCAAAAAAATCGACTTTCCAAACCGTAAGAAGCTCTGTTCGGCTGGGAATTGAAAATTTCGATTTTTCAACTGGAATTTTTCAAACCGTCAGAAACCGCCTCAGGAGTATTATTTTCTGATTTATAAATTTGGGACGAGCTAAGGCAGCCAAGAGCGCACAGAAATCAGTGGCCTATCAGGAGGAGGAGAGGGCGAACAAGTCGATTGACCTTAGCTTGTAGACGAGGGTACCCAAGTGCACTGTAGTCTGGGTTATGCAGGGCGAGAGGAGAAGCTGATTGATTGATCTTAGCGTTTTAGTGGACGATATCACGAATTGCCATGTGAAGTGTTCACTTCAATCTGTTGGTTTTCTACAACAAGTTATGCTTCTGTTTCCCGTGGCATTCGACGGATCGTGTTTCAGCGCACCTCTTTTTTTGCATTTTCTCTCTTCTTTTCGTTGCCTTTCGTTTTTGTCCATGAGCTGCTCATTTTGACGATGAGTATGCATCGCATCGTGAAATCACGAAATCATAGGGGAGATATAGGCTCTCAAGGGTACTTACAAAAAAAGACAAATGAGACCCATCCTGAAAGAGAGAAAAGAGGCTTGCCGGTTGATGGGGCGCCAAGGGCACCGAATGTAGTTTGGCATCGCCATATTTTGATATTCTGGCCTTCTCGCAACCGCCGAAGGCGGTGCCGCCATTCATTTCGGTACCGCCACAAATACCGTCATATTTGGCAGTACCGGGAACTGCCGAAGGCGTTACCGCCATGTTTCAGTACCGCCAGAAACATGCCGCCATATTTGGCAGTACCGGGAACCACCGAAGGCGGTACCGCCGTATTTCAGTACCGCCAGAAAAGTACCGCCATATTTGGCAATACCGGGAACCGCCGAAGGCGGTACTGCCATATTTCAGTACCGCCCGAAAAGTACTGCCATGATTGGCAGTACCGGGAACCGCCAAAGGCGGTACCGCCATATTTCAGTACCGCCAGAAAAGTACCGCCACATTGAAGTACCGCCCCGCCTGAATCCGCCTACAAAACAAGTACCGAGGTGTACCCGGGTGTTTTCAAACTCTCTGCGAGATGCTCAATTAGGTAAGTAAGTTGATCGTTTAGGAAGCAAGTCTGTCTCCACGAAAACAAGTAGACTCCCGTCACACCTTGCGGAAAAATCGAAACGAAGGGGAGGTGGCAAGCTCGCAGATGGCGGGGAACCCTTTTTCAATTGCATGGTTACGACGTGATGTACGCTACTTGGACGCATGTGGTTAAGGTATCCAGAACTGAACACAAAAAATAACACAATACACACAATCAGGCAAAGCCCGCGCGCGGGTCGTGCGGCGGGACAAGGGCATCGACAGAGCACGAAAATACACTGAAGGCTCTCTACTATTCTGATAGACTTGACGGGGAAGAACCTATCGCGAAATAGGTAGTTGTTGACGTCTGACGGCTGCAGTCGCCAACGAAGGCGCTGTAGCTCGTAGATCCGCCGATTCTCTACATACGATGTCGATAAATCCCAAAACACACCGGCACGACCTCACCTACGACCAAGCACCAACATCTTCCAGCGTGGATAAAATGGTAGGATATGGTGCCTTCGTTCTTTCGTGGTTACGATGTCGTTGAGAAACGTAACTCGCCGAATGTTTCGGTCTATATAATCTACAGCAATGACACGAATATAGGGGTCCCTGTACAATACAAGGCCGCATGGTGCCAACGGCTTGGGTCAGCATTTTACTGGGCATCCGGTGCTATTCACAGTACGAGACAACTTTAATATGATCCACCACCTACACATTTCAAGAGAGTTCACCGGCCTTACACTTCTGTATACAAGGCGTCCGAACGGTCTTACTGTAGTGCGGCCGTAAAATGTAACAGACCGCTACTGGTGTAGTTGGAAAGTGCAGCGGACGAGTGCTAATGGAGTGAGAAATGTGTCAATCCGAAGAAAACGACTTGAACCCAGAGTTAAGGTCATTCAGATTGGGTCCAGCAGTGACACGCGCCGATAGGTTTCGCCCTGATCCCAGGCAAGCCACATCAGTGAGTACAGCAGTAGTGCTGAAACGGGAAAGTCAAAGGCGAAACGCTACAGCTACATAGCTCCATTCACTATTTGCCAAAGTCAAGTTCCCTTCACACAAAAGAACAAAGAGCGTCTTTCTGTGAGATTATGTGAACGTTCTCACAGTGCTGCACGACTGAAAAAAAAAAAAGTGTGAGAAAAGAAGCTTCCAACGGGAAAGCAGCCCCGTGTGGAAACCCCTCTGATCAGGCGGCTCGCGGCGCAGCAGACCTCCACACCCAGCACCGGCACTAGAGGGCGAACCAGAGGCTAAACTGCTCAGACAACACGAGAGGTATGTTAACACGATGCAAGGGCACAGCAGGGTATGATTTATACGCCCAGATACACATGGTAGGGTGAGAAATTTAGACTTATGCTAGAGCGTACCACACTGCGGCAGCTCCAAAATCCGCGAGGAAGCTTCACACACGAGCCGACCTCTGCGCAAGGTTGGCGTCTTGCAGACTAATTATGCTGCCGACATATATGTAGGTCTCATTGCCACCTACTGCAAAAGGTTTGAGGCGATTTAGTGTGGTAGAAATAAGCATGGTGTGTTCAAAATTCAAATTTCAGGAGAGCCCACGCCGGGGGCTTCGAACGCACGCTCTTGCAAGTTGCACATGTACATCCACTGGATATGCGACCCCCATCCAAAGATACTATGGAAATGCCCGATACAGTCCGGCCGCCACAACAATTTATAGGGAATCTGGACTTCGAGAGGGCAAGTAATTCTGTATTGAAGTTGATATTAGACTCGGTGCTTTGCCATGGTACGAGTCAAACATGACCCGGGGCNCTTCGAACGCACGCTCTTGCAAGTTGCACATGTACATCCACTGGATATGCGACCCCCATCCAAAGATACTATGGAAATGCCCGATACAGTCCGGCCGCCACAACAATTTATAGGGAATCTGGACTTCGAGAGGGCAAGTAATTCTGTATTGAAGTTGATATTAGACTCGGTGCTTTGCCATGGTACGAGTCAAACATGACCCGGGGCGCTCAGCTACGTACACTCCAGACCGTGCATATACAGCAGCAGATTGAAACGCCGCAGAAATGTCGAGTCGGGCATATATAGTACGTAGATCGACAGCTTTCAGTCCGTCATGCTCTGAGGTACATAAGCATGCCTTTACAGAGAATCATATGTTATGCATGGCTGTCAAGAGACAACGAAGCGCGCCCACAGACATAGCATAGGTGTGCGCCTGCGTAGGCTATACGTGTCACGGGACATTTTGTAATGTTTGGTCGTATACCATGGCCAGGTATTTAATGCATGGGACAACGGCCGGCACAGGTCGTGCTGACAGATGACCCGTCGAAGAGGTAGGCGGGGCAACCGGGCTGGTGGGGCTAACAACCCCACAGGTCAACCGGCTACGCCTCGGAACCAGCCTGGGAGCTCTGTTACACCCAGAAGCGGGGGTATGCAGCCAGCATGGGATCTTCGTCAGCTTACGGAAGGCACGCTAAACTCGCGTACTCCAGTGGTCGACAACTCAGGGGGAGACGTAACAAGTGAACCACCACGGATACCCCCCCGCCGCGACGAAGCGCGACGTGAGAGATTCCGGTGCACGCGTCCGTCGGACGGGAGGAAAATCCCGGTCGGGCAGGAAGCGCAGGAAGAGGTCCTCTGTTGGTGTCACGGGTGGTAGCCTACCCAATCTTGAGAGCAAACTCGAGGAGGAGGATTACTACAGACAGCAGGGCGAGGCGAGGAGGGAGGCATCGGCCCGTAAAGCTCGCGCGATTGCCGAAGACGAACGGCGAAAAGCAGAGTCCGCGGGGAATCACCCCGTTGATCCTCGGCGTAGAAGTCACGGCGGGAAACCAAGACAAGCCGTTTATCATCCTGGAAAGCGGAATGCGGGTAGGAGACTTTCTGCCCCAGCGGTGCTATCT